GCAGCACCTGACACAACTTCAGTCAGAATCAGGTAGCCTGGATCAGGTCTTAAGACAGACAGGGCCTGGCTCCTTCCAAATACATCTTCAGTAAACGTTGCAAATCACAGCTGCAGTCTACATTCCACACAGGAGACTCGGGACATGTTTACCCGAGGCACTGGAGCAGGTTACTCCTCAGGGAAGAGCATCCAGGTCTGGCCTCAGGACTGAAAGCAGCATTACTGTGGCAATTAAGGGACTGCAGAAAGGGAAACCATATGCATAAAAGGTTGCTCCCAAGCATAAGCAGCTCTACGCTTGTTAAAACTGGCCCAAAAGACATAGCAGGAGCTGCGCTACACCTTGTTACCTGGCACCTCTCTGTCCTATGCTCCATCACACGGCACGCGCTGGCGGCACCATTTCTTCACGTTTCTCACTGAGCTGCGCAGAAAAGGGCCTCATCAACATACCGAGGGAGACACAAGTATTGCCATGAGTGATGCTGACTGCCAACTTTCAGGGTGATTTCGTACGGGCCATCTAAGGTACTCATGGCATGGGAAAACAGTGTTGGAATTTGGTTGGGCCGGGTCCCATGCAACCATGGGTTTCCCTCACCCTTTTCTTCAACAGTTCCCAGTTACGGAGCTTGGAGTGATCAGGGAGTGTTCAAGAAGGCAGGAGCTGCAGTAAGAGCCTGAAACAACTTTCTCAGCCACCAGCTGAACCCTAACTGTAATGGCGGATCACCATTCTGGAAGCTGTCTGCCTTCAATTTCCCTAGTCCATCTTCAAACGTATTTCTGTGGTGTGTCCTGACAACCACTCTGGGAACATACTGTGTGCCAAGGATGTTTGTTTAAGCCTTCTAGTCGTTCCTGTTACTATTGTCAGACTTTAGCCGCGTGTAGGTTTCTACGTAAGCCAGTTCAGCTGGTTTCGCCTTAGAGACTGGATGGAGATCAGCATCTCCAGAGGCTGATCCAGAGGAGCATCTCCATCTGAGGCTCCAGATGGCTCTTGTCATCCTCAGATAAGTGGAATGAATTGTCCTTTGGAGCTACTGCCTGGCTCCCTGAAGTAAGAAGAAAGCTTAGACAATTTGCTTCTTCACATTAGGTGAAACCACTTCCAACAAAGGCGAGTTGGCAGAATCACCCAGCAGATCTGTGGCAGAGTGAAAAACTGAGCTTGGGTTTCTCATTCATCCTCTTTTAGATCACTGTTTGTGGCAGCAAAAATAAAGTCACATGGAATTGGTCACTATTGAGAATATTATGACTCTGCTAGGGCTTGGGAATGTTTTTTCTTGAAGGTCCCTTGAAGTGAAGATGCCTTGTGGACTCCAGATCCCTTTTACAGAACTGTCTGTGCTGCTTGGCTGACTAATTAGGGATTTTAATATTTCTCATTACACTTCCAGATGTTTTCTCTCATGGTAGAATATACATTTCCCTGAGTCCAGAGGACAGGAGCCAGGGAGACATCACATTCTCACACCTATAACCTACCAGTGATAAAAAGTTAGAAGTTAGTAAATCTGAAAATAAATTCTAAGATAACTTGCCTTTTAATAACCCCTGCAGATTTAGGGAAAGGAACAATTAGGTGGAGAGAGCAGGTTGTCGGGGAACAGAATCAGGAAAAGTAATTAGAAGAGGGAAACCTGAAGTGAATGTCCTGGTTTATTACTGTCATATGCTGAATAATAACTCATCCTGTGGCTAATGTCACAGCTTTGAGTTTTTGTTTTCTAACCAATGTCCTGCAGATGATTCAGGTATAAACATGGTATCTGGCACAGTCCTATGAGCAAGCACAGTTTTACGGCATCGTTACTACTGATTGCCGAGATAGACTCTGGCTGACTTTACATCTAAATACTTCTGAGCCTTGCCTTGATCCATCTGGCAAATATCTTCATTTCCTCTTTAGAATAATTACTTCATGGTTTTACCTTTCTTGCCTCAGAGAACATTAGAACACTTTGTTGGATACGTTGTTGGGTATGTCTTTGCTCAATATCCGTGTCCACCTTAGAGCCGTATCCTAGCGAAGGACTCACATCCCCTTGCACTCACGGGAAAGGGACAGGAAAAAGGCCATTTTAGATCACTCAAACCCTATGCTAGGAGCAAACAGTAAGATCTCCTGAAGTGACATGTTTTGCTCATTTTGTCCAGTTGAAGTCTCAGTACTTTATTCTCATGGAAACGAACAGAAAAAACGCTACATTCAAGGCAACATTTTCAATGGCTGATTCTCACTAAAAGTATAACACTCAGCATATTCATGTGTCCATCCTGAATGCATAGAAACAAACTTTTACAAGAAAAGGGTATGATTATGCAACCACGCACACGCTATTATGTACAAAAGAAGGCTCTGACCAAAGCTGTCTTCAGTCAAAAAAGATTCACCGTTTCTCACCGCAATCTTGAAAGGAATAACACGGATTGACAAGGAAGGCTCATAATTATTTGAGGGATGACACCCCAAGCAGCTTTACTAACAAAGTCAGTATTGCATTAAAGGTTACTTCCCAAAGCTGTACTCCAAAACACAGTTAAAGAGCTAAACATTTTCCAGATGCCTTTTTAATCCTGTACTTGACGGTAAAGGGCTTGCGCTAAACATACTCTGTTTCAATAAAGTGCATGGAAATTATTAACAATGAAATACAGTGCCAGAAAAGACATCTATAACAGTACCTTGGAAAGCATCTGTTCACTTTGCAGTTTCTTTTCTTAATTCACTGTGATCTGTTTTTGTTATAGTTTCTTCATTTACTTGATGACTTGCACAAATGGGATTCATAAAATGAGGCACCTCAACTGATTTTCAAGTATTTAATAAGCAACAGAGGTTTTTTTAAATGGAGAAAAATAAGTAGTTTAAGTAGTAGTAAGCATTCAACTCTTTTCTCCTTGACTGTAGCCCAAAAGATCTCTTTCAGTTCCATCTGCTTTCCTTACAAAACCTGTGCCCATTTATTTTCCAACAGTAAAATGTAGCTCTAATTTTCTACATTTCTTTCTTGAAAATACATTCCCTAACTAAATGACTGAATACCACAGAAGTGACAAAAGACATGTAGGACTGCAAAATCATGCACTGACCATCAGATTTTCTCTTACTAGTAATGTGAAAAAAGGAGTGAGAGCTCAGCTCAGAAAGGCACTTAAGAATTTGCTTTCCAAAACCCATCACTCAGGCCTTTTGCTGAGAGAGATTTATCAGGTATATCTACAAAAATAAAGTTAAATTTGGACACACTTTAGTAGTTTCCCAAAGCATCCTTCAGTACTGAGGGTCCTATTTTTGAGTGCCAGTCTGGGAAACTCTGGGCTTCTTGTTTTTTTTTTCTCAACACCTCAGATCTTGCTGAAGTCAGTTGATGTTTCCAGTGCTTCCCAAATGTTTGCCTATGGGATTTCAAACTGGCAGTCAAAAGCAAAAGCACACAAAAGTCACAATGTTTTGGTATTAGAGCATATCCAGATAATGGCCTTTATTCTGCAGCTGCTGCTTGATCGACAGCTACAAAATAATAAAGCCCTACTTGAGAGAGAACAAATAAGCAATCCAAACCACTCAATATTTTTGCTCAGGCAGTTACAGTATTTCTTAAAGAGATGGGTTAATCTTTGAAACTTTGGGTCTGAGCATATTGCCTCAACAGAACACACATGTTGACCCTACAGAATGAAGGAGAAATATCTGAAGCTAGCTTTGATTCAGGCAAAACAGTTTAAAGCTCCAAAGCAGACCATTTTCCTAAAGACAGTATCTATGCAATGAAGCATACTCAACTAGCTGCTCTGCTGTTCCGTGTAGACAGTGGCTCTAAGGCTGCTGTTTCTAGTCAGTTAGTTCCTTGCATTTCCCCCGCCAACATAAAAGGAAGCAGTAATTTGCTGCCAATATTTGACAAGGCATTACCAGCTGTAGCTAAAAAAATAAATTAGATTTTTAACACCTCAATGTAGATTTATTTTTTTAAGTTCCTGCTTGCTGCCCACCATGAGACTATTTTCTATATTGGGGGATAGAATTTCTCAGGCCACTCCTCCACAACACTCACATTGATTGAAATCAGCCACTGAAGTTCCTAAGTGTTATTCCTGGTGTTTAGCCATAGGATTGTATCACTGTCCACAAGTTGAAATAAAGAGGAAATTCAGGCTAAACAGATTAGCAAGCAGAGCCTTCACTGACCAGCTTGCTAGAAGCTAGGCCCCGGAGAATGGCTCATTTCCCCGTGTTTATATTAAAATAAGAAGAACTGACTGCTCAGCACTGTATCACATTTAAGTGTCTGCAGGAGGCACGGTGCGTCACGTAAGATCCCACAAGTTGCTTCCCCTCCCATGAGAAAGACCATGGAGCAGGACTCTTCCTGTCTAGCACACTGGGCTATTTTTGAAGTACCACCCCTTGGAGTTTGAAAAAACCCATAAAACCAGAAAGTCGTCATCAGTTTGAAGTGTCTGCTATTAGAAAGCAAATCATGGTTTTATTTTGGTGCATAAATCATACATTGCATGAGGCTTATTTTAAATTACAGCTTCTTACATCACCTTGGCGTATATAGTACACTGATTTATGCTCCTTGGACTGGATTTTTTTTTGCATTAAGTCCCATTTATAATTTTCAGGCTGGGAGTGTCAAAGTGGATAAAGGTTATGTTTATGCTTTAGGATGAACAAACAGCAGGCTAGCCCTACACTCAGTTACAAATGGATGTGTACAAAGGGTGTCTCTGTGAGACTTAGAAAGTAGATGGGAGTGAATTTGTATATTATAATCCATTGTCATGAAGTCTAGTCTCACTACCAGAGATGAAAACCGAAAGCAGAAAAAGCAAGACAAACACCTTTTAAAGCTTTTTTTCTTGTAGCAATAGCAATACTAACATGCAATATACAATAATGCACATTGCCATTCAAACAAGGTAATAACAGTCTATGGTGACGCTGCAATGTTCCTAGGCAGCCACCAAGTTCATTTTTACCTCCAGTCGTCCTTTGAGAGATTAGATAAAATATTCATCTCTTCATCATCTTGCAAAAGACGATACGCCGCACTAACATGGTGATTTTCAAGCACAGACCGGTCATTATATAGAATGGCTGAGTCTGACCTAGCATTTAAAAGAAAACATAGGAAAGGTTATGTTTCTTCCCTGTCTAGAGAGTCTTACATTCAGAAGTTTTCCTTTGATCAACTACAGAGATTAGTTCTATAGCACAGATAGAAGCATTTTAAGAGCACTTGTAATACTTTGTTCATTGCTGTTATTCAGTAAAAGAAAACTAAAGATCAAAATTCACGGCAAAATCTATTTCACCAGCTGAGACTCACCTAGTCTTTTTGTTACATACTTAAAAAAAAAATGCTGAGAGCCGAGAGAGATACGTAAATTTAGAGTTGAATCATGAGGCTCTTTTCCAACTTTTATGTATGTTGCTCTCATATTAAAGCCTGACTGTACCCAAGTAAGCAACTGCAAGACGTGTCCCAATATTGTTTCCAGAACAGCAAATTGGCTGTAAGCAAGATACAACTGAACTGCTTTCTGTCATCTGTGCACTAGACTATGCTGTCCAGAAGGGCAATTTCCAGTGCGATAGAGTAAGACCAAAGGTACTTCACGCCTTATTTTAAGCTCCAGGGCATAGATCTGAGATTAATGAATGGCTAAACTGGTCTGAAAACAATTCTTGCTGGAAGTTAATGGCAACAGAGTGTGAGTATGATTTGTTACAGTCCCCACTCAGTTCTGCTTCCCGGAGAGCAGCGTATATTTTTCTCCGCTGACACTTTACACCCTCTGATGTTCAGTGTTAAAGAAATGAAATTACAACTGTCCTTCCTTGAATTCTTCTATAAGTGTTTGGGAAATACAGCAGATCCCTAATTCTTGCATGCATGAAGCTGTAAGAAGTGGAGTGTGCCTTGGCCCAGAACAGAGACAGAAACTTCTTTCTACGTTCCCAAGCTTTCCTGAGCATGTGTGATTTATCCTAGCAACCTTTATATATCTGTGATACACAGCATGATTCAGCTACCATACTCTAGACATCTAATTTAGGGTAAGATGCAATGCATCTTAGAAATGCCCGAGTGTGCAGTGTCAGTCAAGGACATCTAGACATTTTATCATTGCTACCAGTACACTCCCATTGTCAAAATAATACACAGACATTAGATGCCCAATTATCACTGCAAGTAGAGACTTCACAATCTTTGCACACTTCTGAATTTTGCTGCCATCTTCATCTTCTTCTCTCTTCCACCAACCCAAAAGCCCTATAGGAGATTCTGAGTTCAAAAAATATGCTGGTCCAGTCTAGTTTGTGATCAGCTAATTACTGTCTAGCAATTTACAAAGCTTTAAAAAATGATATCCCTGAACAGGTGATGTTAAACATATCCCCTTGCTGCAGGTGTGGTTCTCCACTAAAGTAAAAATAGTATGTGTAGTGTTGGTGTTCACTGATGAACACAGATATTGTTGAATTCTTGATTTATGCAGTTAATGTTTGATTCTTCAAATTCAACAAGGAGAAAAAACTGTTTAATTATAGTATCTCCTCCAAAAGTACACCTTCATCAAAATACATCACTCTGTACAGCAACTTGTCTTTGGCAACTCCAGACAAATATTTTGGGACCTTCCTTTTTCCTGATTATTAATATGAAACAATGCTTAGGAAGCTAGAATACATCCATTCCATTGTAAAAGGTTGAGCAAGAGAAAATTAAATGCAACCTAAGGAAGTGAACTTTCTTCCTTGAAAGGAGGAGAGCAAAAGCAAAAGCTCCTGCACTTTTCTAGGTGGCTGTGCTGTTATTCTCCAAAGGCTTCCCCCTCCATTTCCCAACCCTTCATCATGATTTACAGTGGCCTCACCGTGTCTGGATGTGAAAGTTGTTGGTGGTTCCAGTGTGTTCATAGTCATGGATGGCAGCTGCAAAGATCATAGCGAAGATCTCCAGCTCTGTCAGCCAGTGCTGAAAAGAGATTACAGAGCAATCGGATAAGCTGTCATTTTCCCAGGCATTATGGCTTTTGTCTTTTAAGGCAAGTTATCCCCTGCTGACAGTCAACGCTGCACATCATTGCCTTTCCCCTGCAGCCTGCCAGCTGTTTTAAAGCAAACTTCTCTGGTTGATATGCAAAAGCCAAACGAGTGTTTTTCCTGAAGCTTCATCTAAATAAATTGAACATCAGCAAAACGGTTTCAGGAGCTAATAAGGCTTATAGCAAAGCAACATGTGCCCTTCTTAAAGAGCAATGTGTGAGGAAGAGAGAGAGGAAAACCTCGAGAAAATCAAGGTTCTTCAAGTGGAACTTGATAATACATGTGCAGGTATGCACATACCACCAGGGTATGTATTTTCAGTTCAGTTGACCTGGGTAGCAGAGCCTCAATTACAGAAGAATGTCACTAATTTCCCGTAACTAAAAGTCTTTGTCAGTCACTGAATCATAAGGATAACAGGGAACACAGCCTCACAAGATGCATGACTTGTTGCTAATTTATCATTTACAGAAACATTTGAGAAAGCCCTGAGGTTTTTTTTCTAATTGCCTGGTCGAAGCCTTATTTTTCAATGTTTAAGTCACTTTTGACTTAGATTTCTAAATGACTGAGATGCTTTTAATAATTTTCCTCTGAGTCAATCAATCAATCGCTTTGTCTGGGTTTCCACTGGTAGTACACAAGGAGTGCTGTTAACATCAAGCGCGTCAGAGACAAAGGCTCTAGATACTGTAGATGCTGTAAATATCTGTATGAAATGCTTAAATGTATTACATTTAGAGAAAACCTTTACCACAGTGGTTGCCAAATATTTTTGTAACAGCTCACTGTCAACCTGCAAATGTTTTGACAGACATTCACGTACCAACTGCCTTTTAATTCAAAGCCCAGTAAAGGCAGTATGGATTAATAAACTTCTAGACACCTACTACAGCTCAGGGGCCACCACTGGTCTGTTAACCACATGCAGGGGAAGCGCAGATAACTGCGGGGCTCTGCACACAGCGACCTGTCCAGCTCTTCTCCTGCCTTTCACAGCCATCTCTGCATAACCAATGAAGAATGAAGCAAGCCTCAGTATTAAAGATCTCCTTACATAAAAGATGCAGTTTGAAAATATTGGCCAGAGATATTTTGCACAATGCCACTGACTATAATCAAGGTAGCTCTTGATTTTTTTTTTTTTTTTGAGAGAGAGAGAGAGGAGGGTGAAGAGATCAAGAAATGAGCAGACACAGAAAATAACCTATTTTCTCATTTCTACACAATTGATCTAGGATGGGAATGGACAGCACTGGTGGTGGAGAAATCTGTGATGTTTCTGTTTCTAGGTGTGACTTGTAAATAAGGAATTCTTTGCAGGTGATGAAGAACATGATTTCAACGTTCAAGCAACAATTTCTGGCAACTGCAATGGGGGAAAAAGGGAACTAGTGTTTCCATGCTATATGTCTAGATCTGGACTTCAATTCTTCAACCACGTTCTGCCATTTCCCAAAAGGAGAGAGTGAAAATGATAGAAAAAAAATCAGGCACAAGCACTCAGGAACAGGCAGAGCAAACCTACGCTATGCACACAGGACTACTATGGGACATGCCCAGTTAGTGTAATGCATCCGCTTCAGACCTTCTGGGCATCATCTGACAAGTGCCACTCCAACAGGATCTTATGACCCAAGACTTAAAACATCACTAAGGCAACAAGCTCTGTGCTTGAGGTCTCCTACCTCATCTCTCAAGACTCATACAGGAAAAGTGCTAACTGGCATGCCCTATCAAAGTATCACTTGTTGATAAAGTATCACAAGTTCAGGTAATGCAGGTTTTCAAATAGGGTGTAATACACCTGAGGAGAGATATTAAATATCATAACAGCATTTGAGGAAGACCACTCAGAATACAGATTGAGATTAGATTTGTGAACTCTGTGTAATAAATAAATCAGTGTAAGTAGGACAAAGTCAAAATTGGCTTGTGAGTAACAGGAGGGAAATAGCACGTAAATAATTGGAACCTTTTAGTCCCTTTTTTCTGCTACAACCTTGCAAGGAAAAGCAAACAAGATGGCAAAGAGCCTGCAGAGTATGGATGCAATCTCCATCTAAGCGGGAATATTACCTTTCACTGCTCTGTGATGGACTTCATCTTGGGAACAGAGAGCTAGTTTCAAAGAACAAAGCCATCAAGAACTGTTGAGAAACCAGCAGGACACTGTCGCAGGTGAAAAGAGCGAGGAAATGTGAATGCTTTTCATTTCTAACGGGTTGACAAAAACAATCCAGAACAAAACCTTCAAACTTTCTGCGATGATAGGGGGTGGGGGATGGCGGGGGAAGGCGGAATAAAAGATCAAGTATTGGCTTCCAGAGTGGAAACAAAAAAAGGGTAATGAGGCATGATTGTCTTTCACAAACACACAATAAATATGAAGAATTAGCTACTAAGGCAAGTCACTGGCATGTAAACAAAAGGATCGATGCATACAGAAAGAAAAAGGAAGAGGAAAGAGCAGTGTTTCCAAATCTAACAAAACAAATGGATTCATTTCCAAGAAAATTCTACAAAGCAAAGACAGCAATAATTAGCTTGTTTCCTTCCCCAGTTTATGGTCTTTTATTCCAAAGCAGTTATCATTTTCAGAGCTCATGATGATCTGCTTATTAATCACAATAGTCTAGAGGAGAGGAGGATCTCACTTCCCTTTGGTGCAAACAGATGTGACACAAGTCCTGCACTTCTGCAGTTTTACACGTCTGCTGCAGGAAATATTCTCCTGTACTTCTTAACAGTATCAGAGAAAGAACTCTTAAGATTTACCATTTTCACCTCATTGTCTGGATTCAAAGAAATCATATGGTAATTCCTAATAATTATAAAGATTAATCAGAAAATAATACCGAAGAAAGTAATAATCACAGCTGAACAACAGAGTTAAATAAAGGAAAGAATGAAATGAGCAAAAAGTGTGTCAGCTTTTGGAAGCTGTTCTTAAACTTCACGCTTGTATACCACTCCTCTGAGAGAGAAACATCAGAGTAATTCCAAATTCTCTTTCAATGTTATTCTACGAGAGAACCCAAAATATTCTAGTTCATGCAGTAAAGTATAAGGAATTAATTCCAAGTCATCATCCTGAGGAAGAAAATAACAGGAAAACTAAAGAGATTTCAGGCACTGAATATGATTAGAGGGCAAGAATATTTTTTAATTGAAAAGAAAATAGAAGAAAGAAGAAGCCTGGAACAAAACTGTTGAGAGAGCTTGTAAATAATAGGAAGCATGACAAAGGCAAATGAACCATGTAAAGATAAACCACACAATTGTTTCTTCCCTTTGAGACTAGAACAAATTACTACTATGCAGAATATGTGAATTTGAAAAAAGAAGTTCTTTTTCCACATTGCAAATAACTAGTTAACAAGATAAATCAGGGGTTTTTTTCCGCTTTTACTGTATGATTTTTTCACAAGTCTTTGTCCTCATCCCATCGAAGAATTAAACCAATGGCCCTAGCACGCCTTCTGAAACCAAAGAGGAAAAGAGGAAAAATACTTCAGAGACATTACAAAAGAAAGTGCTTTCATGCTGAAGAGTTCTTATTTGTCACTTCAAACATCAGGCAGCATAATAGCAGGTGACTTTGAAAGGCGTGCGGACATAGATAATTTACTGGACCTAGGTAACGCACGAGAGAAAAATCTCAAAAGGCATACGCTAGAGGGTGATAGGTTTGTGCATTTGTTGCCAGGTTGAGATAAGGCTGAAGCACATTACAGAGAGACCTGAAGACAGATACTTACCCAGGTCTTGCTCTTGCTTCTCAGTCACATTGGAGCCTGGGATACACACAGCTGTCACTTTTTGCTCTGACCAGCTTTGGCACTTTGGTTCTGCAATTGTCTTCAAACTCCACACAACACATTATGGTGCTGCAGTCTGCATGCTGCAGAGCACTGCTTTCAGCCCAAATCCAAAACACAGCCCCGTACCAGCTACTATGAAGAAAACTAACTCTATCCCAGCCAAAAACAGCACATCTGCCTAAGTCGTCCCCAGAAACTCTTTGCAAGAGGTGTTTCCACTGAGGTATCGCTGGACTACATTGAATGATGCCAATGAGGCACAAAAGCCTGCTCCTGTTTGACGTGACCCACCTTCACAGTGAGCTGTCTTTCCTCTGGGCTGACACCTTTCTAGCAGAGAAGCACAGCATATAAAAGCATAGGAAAAACAAGTCAACGGAAATAATCGCCTTTACCTTTAAGAAAATAGATTTTACAATCTCTAAGAAGAAATAAGGTAAGAGAAGAGGCCGCACTACTTACAAATGTCCACACGTTGCTGTGCAACTGTGCCAAAGGATAGCACGGAATACATAGACTTCAGAAATATTCCTATTTTTGACCTGTGGTGAAGAGGCCCGGAAATTTAGCTCTCACTTCCAGTGTTACCAGTGGGATTAGAAAGTCAGAGATTCCCCTGCTATTTCTGCAATATCTTCTTCTCCTTTATTCCCAATGAGTCAAACCCAGTTTTGTATTCAGCAAGAACTTCATCAAGAACCAAAGTTAATTCACACAAACAGGAACTGTCCTGAGTGATTTACTGAATAACTTGACTCCAGAAAAACTATCCAAGTCTTTAAAACCTTGCCTATCAACTCAGGCCAAGGAAATGGCCCAGAGACAATCTGCCCTCTGACCCTTAACAACTACACCTATCTCCTCTTTTATTCCTGGTCACACGGCATCATGGCAACAAGGATGGTGTGAAGAGAGAAAAGGTGGCCTGAGATGGTTTTGGTTTTCATGACAGGAAAATGGCAGTGCTCGTCAGCACCTCCTCCCCACCTGCACCATCTCTCTCTCTCTCTCTCTTCTCTCTCTCTCTCCACCTAAAAGCTTGTCAAAATCTAACCCAAAGAAAAGCAAACAATCCCCGAAAGAGGTGCTCTGCACAGAGGCCTTGACCAAGAAGCACGAGCCAAAGGGAGAAAGGAAACTATGGAAGAGTGGAGAGATGACGCCTTCCCCCACGACACCAGTGCACAGTTTCAAAGGTGCTATTGCCTTCTGGAGCTACACAAGCCAGGAAAGCAGAGGACCGGACCGGCACGGCACAGGCGCAAGGGGCACGTTGGCATCTGCTCTCACCACGGCAGCGCAGGCACAGCAAGCCATCGCCACGAACACCTTCACAGCCAGCTTCCTTTGCCTCCTTGCAGCCACGTTTCTCATTGCAGACTGTTTCTCATTCAGCCACTGGGGAGCAAAGAAAAACACCTCCCTTGCCTCCTTAGGCATGCTCATGGCGTGCTCTCAACAGCTTTTACACTGCTTGAGGTACACGGGAATCCACTTGGGGGGGGAGAAGAAGCACCTGCACACCCGTCGCCCTAAGCACTCCCCGCAAGAGCCCGTAGCCACGATCAAATCCGTCCTGCGGGCTGGTCTAGAGTCACCACTGATCTGCAGCTACCCTTTCTGCAACGCCAGGGCGGCTCTGGCTTCACCTTCACCCACCCGTTCGGTACCTGAGGCAAAAAGGAGCCGGGGACAGCAATCCCCCAGGGGCCTTCCCGTCCTCAGACCCAAAACCCCACCTCCAGGCCCCAAGCACCTCGGTGGCCCTACAACGCGCTCCTCCCGGCGCCCCTGCGCAGCAGCCCGCAGGACGCCAGGCCCTCTCCTCCCCTCTGCCCCTCTCTGCTACTGGCGGCTGCGGGGACGATGCCACTTGCAGGGAGCCCAGCGCTTGCAGGGCAATGCGGCCTCCCCGACCCTCCTGGGACACTGTGGCCACTGGTCCCTTCAGGGGACCCCAGGCCCGGCACGAGGAGGGGGCTGGAGCCCAGGGCACACAAGGGGAGCTGGGGGGCAGGCCCGCTGCCCCAGGGACAGCCCTTCTCTCTGACGACCAAAATGGCCCCCCGCAACGGGGCCTTCAGGGCCTCAGGGGCCACCGTCCCACCCACAGCAGCGGCTGTTGGTGACGTCACCAGCCTTCCATTGCACAAGCAGGCACCCCTGCGGCTGGCCCACAGCTCCCGGAGCACCTAGCCACTCTGACACCAAGCCTGCTTGGGAGAGGAGGACCCGGAAAAGCCCACATTGAGTGGGAAGAGCCACAAGAGCTTCTTAAAGCCACTCGGGATGCCTCCACAGCCCAAAAAACGCGAAAAGGCTGACGGGAGCAGCAGCACCTATGGCAGGCGAGTTGAGCCCATGGAGGTCGACCCGCCACGCAATGGCGAGGAGCCCATGGAGGTGGATCCACCTGCAGAGGGCGAGCCAATGGAGGTGGACCCACCCTCTGCAGGGCTGATGGGGCACTACATCACCATGGCCGGGCTGCCTCCAGCACCATGGTGCCCAAAGCACTGCAAGACCGCCACGGGCTCGCAGGGACCCTCCAGGCAGCCAGCTCCCAACAAGCGGCGCCACCCCCGTAGCCGACGCTAGCCCTCACAGCCCCAGCCACGCCGACAGCCGCCAGGCTCATCGGGAACATCACCCGGCCGTCAAGCCCCAGATGAGCCCTGCTTTCCCACCCCCCACCCACGCCCCTCAGCAAGGGGGGCATCTCCTCTGCCCTCAGCCCTGGCCAAGAGGCCAGCAGAGGGGCTGCCATCTTCTGCCCGGCAGTGCCACTGCCGGGCAGTGCCATAGCACCAGGAGGAGTCCTTCAGGCCCACCAGAGACCGACGGAGACCAACGGAGACCATCGCAGACTGACGGACACCGCTGGACAACGCTGGACACCGCCGGAGACCATCGGAGACCACCGGACACCGCTGGAGACCATCGGAGACCACCAGAGACCATCAGAGACCGACGCAGACCGACGGAGCCTGTTGGACTGCCCTGGAGCACCTCCGAGGTTATTGGGGCCTGGAGGTGGCATTTTGGCAGCCTGAGGATGAGAAAGCCAGTGGCGGGTGGCTGGCCTCAGCTAGCTCTCGCCTCAGCTACCCAACGGGGGGGTGAAGATGAAGCCACACCCGCCCTGGCACTGCGCAGACAACAGCAACAGACCATCAAAGAAGCTAGATGCCCCATCCCCGCAAACAGTCCTGATGGCGGAGACAGCAACATTGGCCAAGAAACAAGTCAAAAGCCAATAAAAAAACAATCAAACCCAATTGAAAACCCAATACAACCCAATAAAAAACCCCGTTTAACAACACAAAATGCTCTCCTCTCTCATTCGGCACTTTGGAGGCTGCACGCGCGCTCCCGTGTCCCATTCTGCTCTCCCCAGCACAGGAGAGGCACCGACACAGGCGCTGCGGGCCCAGCCCAGCGCCTTCGAGATGCTGAGGGGCCCGGGCGCACACGGGCAGGCCCAGGGAACTGCCGCTGTGCGGCTGGCAGAAGAGAAGGCGCGGGGCTGGCTCTGCATGGGGCTCTGCCGCAACACGGACATTCTTCTCCTGACCCAATACCACCGGGAAAATCATCCTCTTCCCATCTCCCACACGCACTTCACTACTGCTGCTCCGGGGATTCAGAACACCAAAGGCCTTCTAGGCAAAAAAAGACAGAGCAAGCTTCATTTCCCCCAGCTCGCAGCCCTACTCCCTTTGCTAGGACACAAGCCACGGGCTCATCTCTCCTACCTGCTTCCTGGCTCGCAGTGGTCAGAGAAGGAGGAGGAGAGCATTCACATGCCACTCTTCTTTGCCAGTGCGCACGCGAGCGCATCGCATCTCTAGCTCGTGAGACGGGTGAGAAAAAAGCTTCATCTCAATGGGAGGAATAAAACAGGGTGTCTTGGGTTCCTGTGGCAAGGGTTTGGGAGCGGGGGGGCTCTAGGGGGGGCTTCTGTGAGAAGCTGCTAGAAGCTTCCCTCATGTCCCATAGAGCCAACGCCAGCCGGCTCCAAGACGGACCCGCCGCTGGCCAAGGCCGAGCCAAGCAGCGATGCTGGTAGCGCCTCTGGGGTAACATCTTCCAGAAGGGGAAAATGGTTCTGCGCAACAGCGACTGCAGCCGGAGAGAGGAGTGAGAATATGGGAGAGGAACAACTCTGCAGACACCAAGGTCAGTCAAGAAGGAGGGGGAGGAGGTGCTCCGGGCGCCGGATTCCCCTGCAGCCCGGGAAGAAGGGACGGCTGGGGGGAAGCTCTTTTAACATTTAGTCATTTTTTTTAGCCGTTATTACATACACAGGCAGGAGGGCTGCTGCACTTGGGCAGCTCTTGCCATCCAGTCACTTTTTGGAGCAGAAGAGCCCCAAGGGAAAGCTGCCCATCTTCAAAGCTTTGAGGACAAAAAGGGGATCCATTTGCTCACCACTACCATGCAATTCGCATTACTCAACAGTGCATTATTCCTACTGACTACAGCCTTCAGTGCATTTTCATTAACTAATGGCCCTAAAAGCAGCAGGGACCAATTGAGGATCTCACCTGAGGGAGAGGCTGAGCCTGCAGCTGTGTTAGCTGCAAACCTGACCTCATTCTGATTTACTTCAGACACAATCAGCAGCACCTGACACAACTTCAGTCAGAATCAGGTAGCCTGGATCAGGTCTTAAGACAGACAGGGCCTGGCTCCTTCCAAATACATCTTCAGTAAACGTTGCAAATCACAGCTGCAGTCTACATTCCACACAGGAGACTCGGGACATGTTTACCCGAGGCACTGGAGCAGGTTACTCCTCAGGGAAGAGCATCCAGGTCTGGCCTCAGGACTGAAAGCAGCATTACTGTGGCAATTAAGGGACTGCAGAAAGGGAAACCATATGCATAAAAGGTTGCTCCCAAGCATAAGCAGCTCTACGCTTGTTAAAACTGGCCCAAAAGACATAGCAGGAGCTGCGCTACACCTTGTTACCTGGCACCTCTCTGTCCTATGCTCCATCACACGGCACGCGCTGGCGGCACCATTTCTTCACGTTTCTCACTGAGCTGCGCAGAAAAGGGCCTCATCAACATACCGAGGGAGACACAAGTATTGCCATGAGTGATGCTGACTGCCAACTTTCAGGGTGATTTCGTACGGGCCATCTAAGGTACTCATGGCATGGGAAAACAGTGTTGGAATTTGGTTGGGCCGGGTCCCATGCAACCATGGGTTTCCCTCACCCTTTTCTTCAACAGTTCCCAGTTACGGAGCTTGGAGTGATCAGGGAGTGTTCAAGAAGGCAGGAGCTGCAGTAAGAGCCTGAAACAACTTTCTCAGCCACCAGCTGAACCCTAACTGTAATGGCGGATCACCATTCTGGAAGCTGTCTGCCTTCAATTTCCCTAGTCCATCTTCAAACGTATTTCTGTGGTGTGTCCTGACAACCACTCTGGGAACATACTGTGTGCCAAGGATGTTTGTTTAAGCCTTCTAGTCGTTCCTGTTACTATTGTCAGACTTTAGCCGCGTGTAGGTTTCTACGTAAGCCAGTTCAGCTGGTTTCGCCTTAGAGACTGGATGGAGATCAGCATCTCCAGAGGCTGATCCAGAGGAGCATCTCCATCTGAGGCTCCAGATGGCTCTTGTCATCCTCAGATAAGTGGAATGAATTGTCCTTTGGAGCTACTGCCTGGCTCCCTGAAGTAAGAAGAAAGCTTAGACAATTTGCTTCTTCACATTAGGTGAAACCACTTCCAACAAAAGCGAGTTGGCAGAATCACCCAGCAGATCTGTGGCAGAGTGAAAAACTGAGCTTGGGTTTCTCATTCATCCTCTTTTAGATCACTGTTAAAAGAGTTATCCATATCTTCACCTACCTTCTATTTCTAAATAATCCTAAATCTCTGCTTTCATTAATACAGCCATATCAAATGAAGTTTGTCTATGGTGGATAATCATAATCTCCTTAATGAGCCAAAACTGTTGTAATCTCATTATGTATTCAGGATGCCAACTCCTGTACTTACCGCTACGCCTGTCTTGAAAAGGAGGTAATGGACCGTCTGTGTCACATCTGCAGCGTGCATTAGGTTGTGATAAGGATTTTTGTGTTTGCTGTAGCCGACCTCCAGAGCTTCCACAAAGGACACCAGGGCAGAAATGGGGATCTGAGAAAAACAGCACAGAATGCAAACAATATAATCATCTTTAACGGCTAGTGTTTGGAGGGAAGCATTTTGATAAGAGGTCTTGAAGAGCAGTTTGTACTTCAGAAATAAATAACACGCTGAAACATCTGAAACAGGCAGTCAAGAGAGAGAGCAAATCCAGATTACTTCCTCAAACTGGCTTTCCCATCCCTAATTACATTATGGATGAATCATTCCTACACATAAACACACACAAGCAAGTATACTACAAAATGCCATCTGGAAGACACGCGCAGTATGAAAAGTTACAGAGAGCACTTGATTGATTGCCCCTGGATAAATATTTCTAATTAGGCCACAAGCGTCTCTCTATTCCCCTCACTACCCACTGGAATATATCTCTGCTTTACTATTCACATTCAAGATTTTCTAATTAAACACATCATGCTACTAAGAGGAGTATCATTTATCAGACCTCTGGCTTTTCACGGCGAAATCCAGCCTGCCCATCCTAGGGGCTCGCCATGCTTTTCTGACTTCAAGAGTAGAACTGCGCACGCTCAAGAAAATGCAATTCAGGGGATTTCTAGAGAGGAGACTACGCAGGTGGTGTCAGCTACAACATATGCAACTGGCACCATGCGTTCTCCAGTTTCATCTGCTCAACCGGCAAATACCCTAAACACTTATATTTCCATAGTTAGAGGAGTACTGATGTTCTCCTCTTGGGTACGTATCGGGGGAGGATGCAGTTCTGACCAGTTATCTTCAAACATTTCTCATCGGGCATGGGCAGTTCCTGAAGAAGGGCAGGAACCAGAGAGCTGTAAATCCTTTTCCAGCCAAAGTGAGTGGGGACCCCTGAGAAGTGGAAGTGTCAATGGAGGAAGGGACAGTGGATTATCTGGGTGAGGAGAATGGTCAAGATCTGAGAACAATGTTTCTACCATCCAAATTTAAGCCTGTTCAAAGCTGGAGGAAAAGATACATAGCATTTGTATCTGCAAACCTCTGTAACAATCATAGAATCATAGAATAGTTTGGGTTGGAAGGGACCTTTTAAAGGTCACCTAATCTAACCCCCTGCCATGAGCAGGGACATCTTCAACTAGATCAGGCTGCTAAGAGCCCTGTCCAACCCAACCTTAAATTCTTTCTTATAAGCCACCTTCAAGTACTGAAAGGCTGCAATAAGGTCTCCCCGCAGCCTTCTCTTCTCCAGGCTGAACAACCCCAACTGTCTCACCCTTTCCTTATAGGAGAGCTGTTCCATCCCTCTGATCATTTTTGTGGCCCTCCTCTGGACCCTCTCCAACAGATCCACATCTTTCCTGTGCTGAGGGCTGCAGAGCTGGACGCAGTACTCCAGGTGTGGTCTTCACCAGAGTGGAGTAGAGGGGCAGAATCACCTCCCTCGACCTGCTGGCCACGCTTCTTTTGATGAATTTGAATTCAAGCTCTCCTTTTTTGCCTGCATGCTTGAGAGTTCTGTGAATCTCAGGAGAATGACACCATTGTTCCCACAGGATCAAATGTAATATTTCCCATGGATTTCATCGGGAAGCCTGTTTGGAACCCCGCCTACTTCATGGTTTCCCATCGCAATTAAAAGTACTGCTTAAATAACATTTGGTCTTGCTAACTGGGGAAAGTACAGTATCCACGAAGCCTTCAAATAGCGCTAAAATTGCATTTGGAATGGAACAAAGCAGGATGAGAGGGAAGTTCCACGAAACTCGAAATGGAAGAAGAGACCCATCTTCTAACTACTGACCTTGAAACGGTTGATCAGATCATAGCGTGTGAGAAGTTCATAGAAAATGAATTTCAGTGCATGATCCCCACTGGCATCGTTTAGTGCAAATACGTCAAAGGACCATTTGTCTACATTCTGCAAGAGTGGGGAGAAAAGGCAGTTAATATGGTCATCCCTTTTACAATGATAGTTCAATTTCTATCACTTTACATTTACAAATGGAGAATTAGAGTGGTGACCTAAGTGCATAGCTTTTTTTTTTTTTTAACTTCTTCAATTCCATTTAATCAATGCAGAGTCTAATTTACTCATCAGTATTGTATGACTCGTGTTTAAGAAGCTTCCATTATGAACATGTATGCTGTTTGTTTATTCTAAACATGGCAGTTCTCCATACCAGAATTTAATCAGCAAAGGCTGAATCCAAAAAAGATAAGAATCCTGATTTGCTTTGCTTGTGCGCGCGGCTTTTGCTTTCCCTATTAAACTGTCTTTATCTCAACCCATGAGTTTTCTCACTTTGACTCTTCTGATTCTCTCCCCCATCCCACCAGGGGGTAGTGAGTGAGCGGCTGTGTGGTGCTTAGTTGCTGGCTGGGGTTAAACCACGACAAAAGCAAATCAGGATTCTCTATCCCAGCCGAAACCAGGACAGCTTTAGTACCTGAAACATTGGGATGGCCCTATTGTGGCTGATTTTACCCTTCTCTGTCCCCTACCCGTGTGCTATGTCTATGAAAAATAACATTAACTTTGAAGGAAACAGGAATAACAAAGATATGCTTTCTAATTATATTAAAGTCTCTGGATATTGCTGTCCCTATAGAGTTCTTATGACTTTGTATTGTGAGCAAAGCACTCCAATGCTTCACTCATGCTTAGAACAGAATAAGGTGATATGTTTTTCGCAGTAAAAAAACCATACAGGCACCTGTAGTCATATTTTTACCACTTACTGTTCAATCAACCAAAATAATAACTAACTAGAACTATCTTGCTAGACCCAAAAAGCAACTTAGTTCCTTCTGATTTTAATATTAATCCTGAATTGTGATTATTGCAGCTTAAATTGCCCAAAGACAGCATAACCCTAATTTTCCTTATTTTTTTGTAAGATAAGTGAGTCCACCGGGGCTTTCAGAAAACTACAGAGCAGAAGAAAATCACAGTAATGTTACATTAAGTGCTATCAACGATATAAAAAACAACCTTTATAACAGAAGAGTAAATATCTAATTCCAGTTCGGAAAGTTCCAGTCAGCTGTAAATGATATATTAATGCTGCAGGGTGGTCAGTCAAGAGATTGAGGAGGGAAAGTCCACTTCCCAGCTCATAAAGCTAAAGTATTAAGGTATAAACCTTCTTGCAGAAGGTTGAGTTCAAATCTCAACTCTTAGGGAAGGCCCTGGGAGCTGACAGCACTCATTATCTAGCAAGATAAAGCTCCTTGATCTCAGAACTGGATGTTCCTGAAACCCTATGAACCTTTTTCTCCTCCTCCTAGCAAGAAAGAGGAAAGGTGTGGAAGGAGTTATAGCTAGAAGAATGATACACAGATCAACCATGCAGCTGCATCTGGCAGAGGACCAGCTCTCAATCTCTCTTGCCTGCTGAGAACTTTGATGTAATTCCCACAGGGGTTTATCCAAATGACTTTCCTTAGACCAAATATTAAAGATTGACATCTGTACACTCAAGTTTCCCTCCACTTTCAAACTGTTGCAGGTTACTTTGCATTTCCTTGTAGCACTTTCACCAAGAAATAAAGATGACTACATTTCACACATGCATGTGCACAGCTGCTCTCAGTGCAAGAAATGGGGGTTGGCTAGACATAATGTAGAATACTGTTAAGGATTAGAGTCCATCTAAAAATCTGCCGTCTTTTTTAGCAATACTAAAAATGCTAAATTACAATTATCTATTGAGCTCTTAAAGTCCTGTCCACCTTTGCTGTTTGTTGTCATGGTCATGTTCCAGGTAAGGACCTGACTTCAAGTCAAATGCAAAGGACAGTGACCCATACATCAGCATAGCTACAGGACTTCGTATGTTCTGAAGAAGACCAATGTATTTTGGTACTGGCTCTCTCCAGCATGGGCTGATCCTGACAACCTTGCTACTTGCATAGTGTTGATTACACAGAGCTGCGTATGCCTCTTGTGGAAGTACAGTCCACGGAGAGGCTAATTAGTGAGTGAATATCAAGGATGCCGAAGATTCAGCTCTGCTTTCATCTATCCCGGTAAATAACTTGCTTGCCAAGCAGTTGATTTTACAAGCTGTGTGGAGCCCACACATTGAAGGCAGGGTCAAGCTTCTCCAGAGATGATTTGTGGCCCAAAGTCACAGAAGAACAATCATAAATTGCAGCTTTTCAACACTTTCAGTAGATGTTAGAGAGGAAAAACAACCAAGAGAGGAAAAAGTTCCACCAAGAAAACATGTTTTGAAGCCCTTAAACAAACTTAAAAAATAGGCAAGAAAAATAATGCCCAAAGCATCCACTCAGTCAATTTTAAGTATTTTGAGTGTTTTTATTTTGTAATCACTTATCTCAGTCAATGAAGCAAACTAATCTAACACTTGCGTGCATACAATAATTTACTTTTGCGTCCTATGGCATTGAAAATTATGTTTCAACTATGCTGAAATTTAATTCACTGTAAGGCGACCTTATCTTGTAGAAATAAAAGGGTTTTGTTCCTTTATATATTTTTCCTGCACTTAATGTTGTGCTCTTGCAGCAGATAAAATTTGCCAAATTGTGAAATTGCAGAATAGCACATCAGAATTGTTCTTTTGTATGAAACAATGGTTAACCACATAGACGATAAGTTTCACAGTAGAGCTATTTAGATTTTACTGAGGGAGAAATCCTTGCTCCTGTCAAGTCAACAGAAGTTTTGCTATTGACAATAACGACAACAGCATTTTACCCTGAATAACTAGGGAGAAAAATCCTCTTAACAGAAGCATGAAAGTGTTACAGATGGCTTAGAGGGTTGCAGCACCACCAGTTATGCTTTGAAAATTAGTGGATTTTATAACCTTAAAAAAAACTTTAACACAGAAGTGACCCCTATATTGCGGAGAGACCTAAAGGGAGGCAGAACTTCATGGATATCTTGTGATGGAGGAGAAGGAGAGCAGGAGAAGAAAGGGATGGGAAACTTTCTGTACGACACATGTCTCTAGGTCGCTGGCCCTGTAGCCTCAGCTGAAGTGTCATAAGCTGCTCTAATGCCACAAATACCCACTGTGGTGTAACTGCAAATAGATCCAAGGTGTCTTACTTCTCAGTCTTGTGTTCTTATTACTTGGCCATTGCTCCACTGCTCGGGGGAACCTAGAGATGAAGTGAAACAGCAGTTCTTCCTAAATGCTCAGTTTTTTGCCTTTCTGTCTGTCCTTAACCTCGGAGACTTGATTTGTTTTATAAGCCAACAAGCAGATGCAAGGGTAGATGTTATTCTGCTCAACGCCACTGGAAGGCCTGACATTTTTGTAGCCACAGACAAGCAGAAGTCTATACTGCAGACATTGTAAGTGACTACAGGTTCTGTGTTCATTACCTGTATATTAGCTAGCCCAGAAAATATTGCCATGACAGCACGGGCATCAGAAAAGGCTGAAAAATTCACTTCTAAAGCAGGCAACTACTTCAGCAGCTAGTTAATGTGAAGTTCTGTCTTGCACTACGCTGCTGAGCTGCAGATCACCACAACTTATTGGGTAAATTAACACAGTTATTCAAACATGTCTGTATGAATGGTATGTGTGGCCACTGTTCAAATGAGAGACAAGGCTGACCATCCCTTTTGTGGCAACAGGTCTTACATCATCATGCCCATGTCATGCAGAAAGGCAACAGGCTACTGCAGTAGAAAAATCAGTATCCAATATATAGAGAGAGATGCTGTGCAATCCATTCGAAAAACTGCCTAACTTCTCATCCACTGAAAAAGTGAGAGAGATTATATACCTAGGACTTGCACTGCTACCACTCCACCTGCTTTTTCTTGCAGAAGCGGCAGTATTTCATTGTGTTATTAAAACCAACCTCATTTTGCCAAGCTGATTCCACAGCTTTGGGTTACTCAGTGCAGACGCCCTGTTGGCCATGGCAGCAAAAAGGAGAGCACATAGTTACAAAATAAGCTAGTTTTGACTCCATGTCATCCCAGTCCTTAATACCATGACTCTGAGGGGAATGTTGATTATGGCAATCCAGAACAGCTGAAGAGATGTGTGTGGTACGCTCCTACACCCTTTTGCATGCTTAAAACATCAGCTCATTTTACAGAGCACACCAACCAGTCGGGTAGTCATAAGGTTTTTTTACTTGGCTTTACTAGACTGAAGCAAGCAACAAAAAGTACCATTTTCCATTAAGGAGATGGGACTAAGATATTTAAGATTAAGTACTATTTCAAAGACAGAAGACATCTTCAAAACAAGTAACTCCCATTTCAACCACATCCACTACCAACCCCAAGCCCATCCAGGCAAAGAGATGTTCTCAAAATAGTTTTGGAAAAAAATACATCCTAGAGTGCACAGTAGCCAAGCGGAATTATTTCACCCTGAGCAAAATTAGTCAATGTCTTTGTTGTTATTGATGTGTTTTAACTTACTATAGCATGATCAGTTCTCTTTATGACCCTTAATCATTTAAAAACACAGAAAGAGGAGAGGGATTCTGTAAGGTTTAAGTCAGTTGAGAGTAGCTGATGGGTCTTGGATTGTCTTGTTACTGCTGAGGAACTCAGGAGAAGAGGTAACATTATAGATATGTTCCCTCATAAGCTGGCTCCGGGGTGTAGTTCTAAAAGAACAAAGACTTTAGATCCCAGTTGCAGGAGTGAAGCTAACACTTGTCAACCTGCAGTTGGAAAAAGGCGTGGATGGATGCTTTGATTCTGTACATGAAAGGCATGCTTGATCATTCTTCTCGCGTTCAATGGACCTTTTGCAATTCCTTCACATCTTTCGATGAGTTGTACTATTCAAAATAAAAAGGATTCAGTACCCTAACTGTAGGTCTTTCCAGTGTGGAGTAGAGCAGAAGGATTTCTTCACAAGTGTAAAGTCTGTCAATGTCCCTGTGTATTGCCCCACTGTATCACCTTTTTTCACCATTGCATGACATGGCTGAAACACATGCAACATGTAATCTGCAAAGCTGCTGTGTAGGCAGCCAGTTGCTAACTTGTGTTTGTAGTCTTGATAATTCCTTCCTAAGTCAAGAACCTTGCAATTGTCTCATGGATAGAACCTTACTTTTTTCAGACTACTTCTGACTAATTAGTTTTCCTCTGAAACCTCAAAACTCATAAAAGGGTCATTATTCCTAAACTGATTGTCACCTTGAAGACCTGAAGCCAAGCAATGCAAGAAATTCCCTTCTCTCACAGCAACTGATCCTTTTCCTTCTCCACCTCTTTCCATCTGTGTTTTCTTTTGTCCCTGGGGGAGGTTGTGATTGATTCCAGCATGTTACTAAGTCCTCAGTTTAATCATTGTAATCTAGAACAGAGCTGTAACCTTCACAACCTGAAAATGGCCACAGCCTTGAACTCTATTCTTTCCTTTATTGAAAGGATATTCCCTTAGGCCAGTAAATGATTAATGTATGTGAACTAAACTAAATGTCAGAGAGAAGGAAAGGGCAAGCACTAAGACCCCCTTACCAAGTTAAATATCGCAGTGTTATCTTTATGCTTTGTACAGAACACGCCCCCCACCACCCCCCCCAACATCTTCTTATTGGGATTACCTTTAGCACTCCAATTACAGCTGGTGGGTAGCTCAAACCAACCATATTTGAAGTCCGTCTGTACATTCTATGAAGACAAAATAGATAAGGCAACACATAAATAGAATTAAACAAAACAAAACAAACAAAAACCATAAAACAACAGACCATTACAGGAGACCTTATTTAGCCCAGGAAACCCTAACTGCAATTTGGTTTTTTTCTTCCTTCTTGTTCCTAACTTGCACAATATTCTCTATACCATTCTTATTGTATAGCCTAACTTGAGACTATACACTCCCCAGTATCTCATAGCTTGGTTACCCGGCCATCATAGAAAATCTGCCAATATCAGGTCTTCATCAGAAGGAAAGGCTACACTCAAATAAACAAGATGTTCCCCATTTTCCACCGCAGGTGACCATACTGCTCTTTCAGTTCCCTTAGTCCTTGCTGGTCCACATGAAAGCTAACTCTGAACGTACTTCAGAAATCATTTCTTGTCTGCAATGAATCAGCTCCAGTTCAGTACAGCTGTTACTTTTGTCTGCATTTTTTTAAGATTGGTATAAAATCTTTTGGGTGTTTGCTCTGTGTGTGTGTTTGAGGGAGAGAGAGAGAAAGAGCAAGGCAATAATTAACATCTGCAACCATACTAAACAAAGCACTGAAGTATGTACCAGATTTTAAACTTGTTTTCAGGCCATGCTGTGTTTAACAGGCTTGGTGAATGCAGAAACACTGTCATAGCTAAAATGCCTTTATGCAGGTCACCCTTTTTTGCACTTAAGCGATGTAGGACTAAAAGGAGATGATGGAAAGCTCTCTTCTCCCATCTGAAATGAACCCACGTGAAGTCTTCCTTCACTTCCCTTTTTCTTTGTCAAGTCCCGCACTCAGACCTGAAAAAAGTCAGCCCCCTTTGAAGAATTAAATTCACCCATTCCCCAAATTACAGTATTTCTTACCCCCTCCTCCCTCCTGTCAGAAGCCCCATAGCCTTCTCTTAAGCAACAATTCAGGCAGAGTCCCTTCTCCCTTAGCACAACCCTCCTCTGGTGCCGTATCATATCTGAACACTTCCTCCTTTGGGCCACAGTGATTCAGATCAGCTGGAAAACAGCCTCCTGCAGCCAGCTCTCTCCAGTTCATTTACTTCCTTGTCGAGCAAGTCCCTCACTGAGAGCGTGGGTTAATCCACAAATAGCCTGTCAAACCTAGGAGAAACCTGTTCCAAGAAGAAATGATGGGTTTAGTCTTATCACAATCTGCTGTCACTCTTAATACATGTACAGTAACTTTGGTACACAGGTAAAAAAATCAGCTGTAGACATGCCGGAGGAAGCTTCTGTGTGTCTGCGTGGCTTGTGGTCCACTGTTCGATATGCCCAGCCTCCTGCGCAGAAGGCTGGTAGGCTGTCACTGTGATTCTGATGAACAGTGAAAGGCGCTCTGGTCTTCCATTCCTGACTTGAGTTTCGCTGTAGAGACCTGTGACCTGCTGTCTTTCATACTGCCTGAAGTCTGCTGACAGTTCCACATGTGCCAGCCCTTCTTCTAGCTTGAATGATGTCAGCAAGGAGTGGTTACTCGATAAGAAAAGGTAAGATTAGAAGCAAGTCCAAATTGAAATGACTAAATGTTTTAAGGGGTTCAGAAAGTGAAATCAGTTTTAGCAGTAGATTCTGATGCAAATCACAACTGAGAAGGCTGAGAGGACTCGATGGGTTTTTTGAAATCCTTCCTGAGCTCCAAAGTTTTCACATCAGTCTTGGTCTATAGTCCATTCCAGTAATACTATGATACAGAACTTTCTTCTGCTTCTTAGCAGTTCTTCATGAGAAATACTAGACAACAGAGGTAAACAGAGGCAAGGGAGGGCTTGGTCTGGCCTGACTGAATTTTAAAAGGTGTCACTCTTGACCTAGGGCTACGCAGAGGTGCATATTCTCTGTCAAAATCATTCCAACTGTGCTATTACATCTGTATTAAGCTAAGAACAGATCAGTATGTGCTATTTCAGATTGCAATCTATTACTTAATCCTAGCTTTCAAGGTGCTATTCAGATCTGTGTAGAAACATCATTAGAAGCATATTAAAGTATTCCACATTCAATACTACAGGTGTAATTTGCAGTACCTGGGCAGCTGTTAGAACTAAGTAATTACATGCCCTTTTACCTTTCCACAAATATCCCAGCTTGTACTGCATGGACAATACTCCTGAACCGGGGTTTTTCCTCCGTCCTTTTGAGCATCATCCCCATTTGCCGTGTGAAGGTAGAAGCCAACCAGTCCCGGACCTCCGAGGGCACAGAGTCAGACTGGATGTCACTAAGCTCATCTTCTGTATCCAGTAATCGCCTAGAAGGGGGAGGAAAAAGATGGATAAACAGACTTCTTTGGAGAGCGTTGCAACACTGTTAACAAAAAAGAAGCTCACATATATTTTAGTTAAAGCAGTTGTTAAAAGTCTTTGGTTCGTCAGCCCTAATGGAACACAATTGTGCAAGTCTACAACAGATTGTTTATTCTCTTGTATAGTTAAATGTCAGATTGTGAAACTCACTACTAGGCCAACAATCAAGAAGTATCAGCCTTCTGAAGCACAACTACATCATCATCTACTCACTTCTCACCTTCGGCTCGTCAATATTCCTGACCTTTCTGCCCTTCAGAGCTCATTTACGGTCATGTCAAATTTCCCAGTTAGTATTACACAGTCCTCTTTCCCATTCTGGTCATCTGAGGTGACTCTACAAGTGCATTTAGCACTGGGGAAATAGCACATAACAGAGCGGGGAACTCCTCTGCACCGTCTTACCAGTCTACCTCTATCATGATCCAGAGTAAAAATATTTTTAATTTCAAAGACTTGATACAAGTGAAAAGATTTAACACTATTCAAAAGTAACAGAGGAGCAGGAATTTAGAAACTTTCAGAAAAAGTGGGACACAATTATTATGAAAACATTTCTCCAAGAGAATATATATTAAATTTATGATTGCTTTTGATCTTCTCCCCCGCCCCAGGAAACTTAAAGCAGCTTTTAAACCTAGGATTGAAGATCTGCTCTACACAGACTACAATATTTTAATGATTAAAAACATATTGTCTATGACTAATGAATCTTGGCTAAAACAAATTTCCCAAATGACCTGTAAATTACAATTTTGTGTCATTGGTACTAGATATAAGAGCGCTGATGCCTGTAGCGAACTCACCTAGTTTCGTCAATGTACACTGACTCAAGAACAGTCGCAGCATATTCCAAATTCTTCTTTAGGTCTACAACTGAAGCCTCCCCTCTCTCTAACTGCTTTACCAAAGACCGCAACCTAGAGACAAGGAAAACAGAAACCTGATTAGTACAAAGAGAAATAGGTCTGCGAGTGAGTGTCAGTTCAAAACTGGATCCAGCATGAGACTTAGCATACATGACTGGCAGGTAAAAACTTTTGGAAGTCTACAAGGTTCTTTAATCCGAATACAAGAAATCAACAAAAATCACTTTTCAAAGATCAGTCACAATGATGCCAGGCAAACATCACGTTATATTTAACCTCAAATAAGTCAGTGAGTTATGACTGTCCCCTACTCATACTGAAATAAGTTAAAATAGAAATCACTTGGAACTTAACACAGGAGCTAAGAGAGGGCAATTTCATTCCAGCCATAAGAAAGGAAGTAACTTCTTGAGTTGACAAAAAGTCAGCCATTTGTGATGACTGGTGTACACTTATGCAAAATTGTATTAGAGTATATTTAGAAACACTATTGCAGAAATACTATACAAGGTTAGGAAATGCTATGATTTTCATTAGATCAGGAGGTCAGCCTTAGACTGTCCCATCTATATTAAACAACTCGTGGAAGTTTTTTATCAGGTTATTATTATTACTAGGGGGGAAACAGACTTTCTGAAAACAAAAATTTGTGCAGAAAATGTCTCCTGTGTCAAAGACAATTAATATATTTGCGCAATTTTCTTTTGTCTTTTCCTCTCCTTCACTCTACTTTCTGTGGTAAATTAGAAAAGCAAAAAAGGGAAGAAAGAGAAGAAAATGCAAAAGTAAAGAGTAAAATGTAAATATTTTAAACATTCAAAGAATATACACGCTTACAATTAGACGGAGAAAATTACCATTCCTTTAAAATGGACAAGGGGATAAAGAATTGACACGTTAAAACATTTTTGTGAATGTCTTCATCCTTGTTAAACAGCAGTTAAATAAACATTCAATTATATATTTAACAGTGTAGCAGAAATCACAAGTTGTTAATTTGTCCTATTCAAGATGCAAAGATGTAGAAGAGTAGTCATGTCATCTAAAATTTGTCTTCTACTTAGGAAACTACTTTTCCTCAGCTTTTTTCTATAGTCTATGGAGAAAAATAACCTTTTCCAATTCAGAGCTAGAGCCCCATATAGGTGCCTGCTCTCACTTTATTAACCATAGTGGGAGCCCAACCTCCTACAGTAGACATGTACATGAAGTTCTTAAAATGAAGTGTGTATCTGTATTCCCTTGCTGTCACAATGCCCCTGTGGCATCAGTGCTTTCAGGAGAAATCACGTCTCCATGGGGCTGTGTTTCATGGCAGAGCTGAGGAGCAGGCAGTCTGCCTGCGTGCATTGCACAAACATCTCTTTGCAGCTGGGTTTCTTCCCCCTCCCTTTCCCTATACAAAATATTGATTGTTCCTCTGGCTAGGTTACATAAATGCCACTCCTACTGACAGTGGTACTGCTGACACACAGCTACATATTTAGCGTTACAAAGAATCTTGAGCAAGAGGTGGACCCTCCATCTCCGGGAGGATTAACTCATCTGCTCGTCGGCAGTTGAAAAACAAAAGTATTGCTCAATACTTCATTCC